CACCGCCCGAAGGAGGGACATATTTGAAACTCGGACTTGGGGGGGGCAAGGGCAACATACGTAACCTAAACATCTGTACCCCTATAATATGCTGGAAAAAAAAATAGACTCACAAATCCAAGTTCTTCCACACACAGAAGTTTTCCAATAACTGAATGGAGTATCAGTATTCCAATTAATTAAAATTAAATGAAATTAGAAATTCAGTTCCTCAGTCACGCTAGCTACATTTCAAGTGCTCAATAGCCACATATGGCTACTGGCTGCCATATTGGACAGATCTAAATTTTTATTCCTCTGCTTTTCTTATCTAGCCTATCCTTTGGTTCTTTTTTTTTTTAACTTCTTTTTTAATTTCATAATATTACGGGGTACAAATGTTTAGGTTACATATATTGCCTTTGCCCCACCTGAGTCAAAGCTACAAGCATTTCCATCCCCCAGATGTTCGCACCGCACCCATTAGGTGTGACTATGCCCATCCCCTCCTCCCCCCTCCCACCTTCCCAACGCCTGATTTACTTTTTCTTATTTTGAATGTGATTTAGTCATACAAGCTAATTCACATTATGGTAGTTTCATAGGACACATTCACATGTATATTCCTCATATTGAAAACAGTTTTTTATTGCGGTAGGGTTCTGCTTTTACCAGTGTCTGATGGCCAACTTGATATTGGGAAAGCCTATCTAGGGGAAATAGAGTGTATTATGTAACAATATATATTTCTTTTTAAAAATTCTAGATTTGAAGAAATTACAGTGGTTAGAAATGGCGGCACCCATGGGAATGTCTCTGTGAACTGGGTGTTGACACGGAACAACAGTGATCCCTCACCAGTAACAGCAGATATCAGACCAAGTTCTGGAGTTCTGCATTTTTCACAAGGGCAGATGTTGGCACCAATTCCTCTCACTGTCATTAATGATGATATTCCAGAGGAGGCAGAAGCTTATCTACTTCAACTTTTGCCTCATACGATACGAGGAGGTGCAGAAGTGAGTGAACCAGCAGAGGTAAATCTCTTGTCATGCATTACTCCTGTGAATATTTCTTTTAATTTAATTTTTATTTTTTAGAGATGAGGGTCTCATTATGTTTCTCAGGCTGGTCTCAAACTCCTGGCCACAAGAGATCCTTCCAGCTCAGCCTCCTGAGTAGCTGGGATTACAGGTGCCAGCCTCCATGCTTGGCTTTTTCGTGTGTGAATATTTCTGTGCTGTAGAAGAGCCAAACACCTTGATCATACAAATCAAATTTATGTTAATTGATGTGACAGGAAATGATGGTTTTCTTGCTCAATGTTGTTCCTTCTGCAAATAAATATTTTACTTTCTAAAAAATTCCCAAAACTATGATTTAAGAAAATTTTCAAGTTTGTTTTTGGTGCATCTTTTACTTTATTATATACAATAAATCATCACTTTTAGACATGATACATAAATAAATATTAAAATCAGAACAGCACAGACAATATAGAGTTTGATAATCTCAGGTGTGAAAATTCTGTACTTTAGTATTTTATTCTTTATCTGCAGCTTTTGTTCTACATTCAGGATAGTGATGATGTTTATGGCCTAATAACATTTTTTCCTATGGAAAACCAGAAGATTGAAAGCAGCCCAGGTGAACGATATTTATCCTTGAGTTTTGCAAGACTAGGAGGAACTAAAGGAGACGTGAGGATGCTTTATTCCGCACTTTATATTCCTACTGGAGCTCTGGACCCATTGCGAGCAAAAGATGGCATCTTAAATATATCCAGGAGAAATGGCCTCATTTTGCCAGAACAAAAAACTCAAGTCACTACAAAATTACCAATAAGAAATGATGCATTTCTTCAAAATGGAGCCCACTTTTTAGTACAGGTACTTTAATGATTAAAATAATAGCAATTTTGCTTAAACTGCAAGTGTACTGATTTATGTGAGAGAGTTAACTGTTATTTTGCCCTCATTTATGTTTTGGATTCTACTACTTGTTACTAAAAGCTATTTTGGGAATCCAAAGAGAAACTATACCTGCTCCCAAGTCATATAATGATAAATAAGACAGGGTTCTACCAAAGTTAGTATTTTAATCAGGTGATACTAAAAATGCACCAGATATGAAATGCAAGTTAGACTGTAATGGATGGCATAATGGAATAATTTACAAACTGTTATAAGGGAGGGTGAGAAAGAGAGAGATTCAAGATTCTTTTGAGTTGATTTGGGAAAATGTGACATAAGAATGGGATTTGTAGAATAAGTATGTTTTTCACAATGGGTATTGCAGGGAGAACATTTTAGAGATTAAAAAAAAGCAGCATGAAAAAAATTTTGTAGATGCTTTTAAATAATAGACTCAAAATTGATTTATTTGCCTACTAACTATAGATAGAATTTCAGAATTTTCAACTATGTAATGAGAGGAAGTAAGGACCCATAGCATATCTTTCCATCTTATATCTTTTATTTCTTAACTTCTATTAACCAAAACATTATTTTTATTGTCAAAGTTCAAAATATCTGCACTCGTTAATGATACTATTATTATTTTCCATTTGTTGATTGGTTGCTTCTGAAAATTAGAAAGCAATAAAGCGTGCCTATCAAATTTTAATTATGTAAATAAATTTAATACCGAATGAGGTAGTATGAATGGATCAGTAAAGAGTTAAAATCTTGTGTCACTGTACGTTTTGCCAGCTGAAGTATATATCATATGAAATATCATATACCATTAACTTCTTTAAATTATGACACATTTATATTTGCTTCATATTTTTGCCTAGATTTTGTTTTATGATTTATTATTGCTTTATCTGTAATTTCTATTAATAATTGTCACCTTTCCATGTGTCACCTTCACTTGATTTTTGAGCTCTTCCAGCTGTCTTACCACATGTGTTGAATGTCGAGTTTAGTTGTACTAACTACTTTCTATGCTTGTTTTACACCTGTTGTTTGCGGTGGTTTTTACTGAACTCTTGGGTTTTCTTGACCTCTTGCCTTTCTCTTCTTGAGTTCTGTTTTAGTTTTGTTGTAGTATATCTATCCTTAAACACATCTTTAGATAGGGTATAGGCAAGGTAAACTTTTTGAGGCTTTAAGCAACTGAAAATGTGAAATTTCATACTCACATTTGATAGTTTGACTTGGTAGAAATGTCTAGATTAAAATAATTTCTTCTTCAGAACTTGGAAGGCATTGCCTTTAAGCTTCCAGAGTTGCTGATGAGAAATTTGGTGGGAAGGAAATGATTTACCTTTTAGCTAACTTGCTCTTTATCTCTGAAAGCTTTTTACAACTGCTCCTTGGTGTTCTGAATTTCACAGAACTGTGACACCTTGCTAAGCACTTGGTGGGGTGACCTGCTTCATTTTATCTTTACATTTTATTCATTTTGTAAAGTAAATGCAGTATACTAAAGAATCACGTTTTATTTGACTTGGCCTAGTCTATATACTGATATTTGACAAAACTGATCAGTCTAAATGAATGTTTACCAGAAATGGAATTTTAAATGTCTTTTTCCTCTATATGAGTTTCAAAGCAAAATGTGTGACACTTAAAAAAGGCATTTAATTTTGCCCTTTAAAATGTATACTTTCATCACAAAGTATGAGGGGGATCAGTACCATTCCTGTCCACTTGTGGAAAATCAACTTAAATCACAAGTCTATTGGTGGTTACTTAGTGGCATCATTTCAGCATTACAAAGCCTAACAGAAGGCTCTGAAGAGTGGGAGATACATGTTTCATTGAGTTCGAAATTGCATTTTAACTTAAAATCACTGTGGTTTTTGCAATACTATCATGATTATCTATTCCTACAGTCCTCAAGTGAACATTGTGTGGAATGATAAGATAGATTTTGAAAAGGGAGACTATTTAAGATGTTGAAGGTTTGAGATATGTCAGAATTCCTATTAGAGCTCAGCTTATGTTGAAGGGATGAATTAACAAATATTTATTGTGTAGCTGCTGCAGTTTCAGTGTGTCATGTACTAGAAAAATGCTGATTTGAACACAGACCCACAAGAGCTCTATGGGCCTGTTGTGAAGTAAAAGTCTGGAACACACAAAATGATGATAAACAAGCAATATGTGAAATTTATAATTAAGTTCTAAGGTTAACGAGGGTACCAGTAGAAGTCCAAAAAGAGATAGAATAAAGAGGACTGGAGAATCCAAGAAAAATCTTCATGGGAGAGGAGGGAACTTTGGCTGGTTTCACAAAGTGAGTACATTTTGGACTTGTGCGATTATGAAGGAAGGGCATTCCAGGTGACAAGAATATCATGAAAAGTTACTCTGGTGGTCATATTCATTAGTTACAGGAACACTACATATAATACATGCGTTGCATTTCTTTAAAGATAAAGATGCATTAAGTTATAAATGGAGTTCTTAGTGGTCTTCAGATGTGTTTTGTCTGGAAGAGAAGGGAAGTGGGTGATTGGAAGTCTGGGTCAGTGGAGGAGGGGAAAGAGATGTGGACAGCTCTCTGATGTTTGGCTTTAAGGTCAAGGTAGTTGGATACAGGCAACAAGGAGGAAGAGCAGGTGGTGATGCTGGTAATGGTGGTGGTTAGTAGTCACATGAAAGAGACAGTGATTTCTGTTTTGGACATTCTGTCTGTAAGGTGTTTGTGTGACATTTATGTGGTGTCCAGTGGCAGTTGGTTTAATGATTTGGAATTTGGGGGAAAGATCCAGAGACTATTAAGTATAGGGTATAACATTATAAGATGAAGGGTTTAGGAAGACCTCTGGGGAATAATAATAATTGAGGAGCAGGAGATTGAAAAGGGATGGCGAATGAGGGGGGCGGAGAATGAAGTGGCTGAGTCATTGGTGACGGTTATGCATGTTTACTTTGTTGCCGCATGCTGTTACGGCTTTAAAAAATTTTTCTACTCTATCAATTTGTATTATTTTTTGTTTATTTGTTTATTATAGTTGGAATCTGTGAAGTTGGTGAACATAATTCCCCCAATCCCACCCATAAGTCCTAGATTTGGGGAAATCCGAAATATTTCATTACTGGTTACTCCAGCCATTGCAAATGGGGAAATTGGCTTTCTTAGCAATCTTCCAATCATTTTGCATGAACCAGAAGATTCTGCTGCTGAAGTGGTAAGTAGACTTTTTCTTATTGATGGGACCTAATGAATTTGAGGTAAGACACAGGCACGATTTTTTAAAAATAGGATTAGCATATAGAGTTAACGGGTCTTAAAAGATGTCACCATTTACATCAAACCTTCCATATGTAATTTGACATAGGTAACTGATGAATGTAGGATTTTCCCATCATCTTTTGCTATAGTGGATAGAATATTTAGAATTAATTGCTCCCAGTAGAAGTAGGATATTTTGGTATGACTGCTTTCAGATGATGCTATGACACAGTGATAGCCAAACATAAGTTTTTTTGTTTAATGGCCAAGTCATGGTACCTCGGGTGTCCTTGACCTGCTCCATCTCTGAGCACTGCATGAGCTTCAGTAGGACTGAAGTGGCTGCCTTGGGTCCTATGCTTGATGGTGGAAGTGATGGTGATAAAGTTATAGAATGCCACATCTTAGGAATTTAAAAATTTTATATATACGGTATATATAGATTTTTGTATAAACACACACATAAAAGCATATCCATGTACACAGTACCCCTTTTGCTCCCCACCCCCCCACACATAGTCCCTGCTTTAATTTTTCCCCAGTCTCCGTCTATCTAGGGACAGCTCTGTCCTTTGGCCTTATCATTCCCGGAGCCACAGTCTGTCCCTGAGACCCTCTTAAAGTCCTTCACACTTTGATTTAAATTGGGTTGGAGTTTAGATCAGGAATGAGGAGAATTATTTTTGTTATCAAAGCCGTATGTCAAAATACGGTGATCATAATTTTGCTTGTATTTTAGCTTCTACAAGTGGGCAGAGGAGCTTCATTTTTCAAGATGGTTTTGATTTTTCATATTTTTCTCAGTACACTGTTTCCTTCTAAAAACTGAGAAGCATTTAGTTTGTTCTTCAAGAGTGGATTGCTTTTATTTGTTTTCTTATAAAGCTGTAAATTTACCGTTTCATATTTTTCCCTTGAGAGAAATTAGCTTTTAGGAAAAGTTTTGGGCTCCTTGGACCTGCATTCTTCCCCTCTTGGGAAAAAGTAGGCGTTTCCCTTTGTTCTCTTTCAGCCATATATGGCCTGGGCAATACCCACTCCCTCAGGGGGATTTAGGGACCCAGCTCTGTGTTACTTCTTTGGTCTTCCCTAAGAATCTTATTTTGCTCACTAGTCTTGGGTTCTGACCGCTGTTAGCCAAAGTAGTGGCATGGTTAATGGTGAAAATATCTTCTGTTTTTTTCAAGATGACCTATGTTAACGGACAAAGAAAAAAGAGGATACTCCTCTTTTAGGAGCATAAAAGAATAGCATAATCCATCATTAATTATTCCTTTATATTCTTTGTTTGAAAAAAAACTTCATCATGATATGTAGTGATCCTATTATTATGTATATTTAAAGTGTGCTGCACTTGAACAAAGCTAACAAATACAATTTGTTTTAGAATTGTTATAGCAGATTCTATTTATTTAGCTTATACAATGGAGAGGCATTGTTCTAGATGCTTTACTTAAAACAATCTCTAATCCTCACCGTACACTTGCAAAATAGAAAATCATTAGCTTTATTTCACGTGAGAAAAATTGAGATCAGAGAGGTTAAGTAACTTGCCCAAGGTAACCCAGAGTCATGATGTGAGTATCTGATTTTATTTCTATTGTATTTATTGTTTTTTTTTAATTTTGCCCCCTGTCACTTAGGATACATTTTACATAACATAGTTTATTTTTCAGTTTACATTGTGATATTAAATTGATTTTATTTTTAGATAACCACTGATGGAAATTTATTCTTTAGAAAGATTGCTCTATGTTTTTCACAATTCTTTGGTCTTAAAAATATTCACATTTTATTAAGACAAATGTCAGGTTAGACACATTGTTAGGTGGGGGTAATTTAGTACATTTCTTATAATTTTTTAAAGTTGATTAGCAAAAACTAATAAAATAATTATGTCTAAAATTATTTTCATGCTTAAAGAAAATGCTTGTTCAATCGTGTTTTTAATGTCGTTTAATAGTTCACTTCCCTATATAGAATACATGTATTTACATACTAGTATGTGTACATATTAACAGCAATAATTGTATCATTTGTGAGCGTATATTTTAGAAGAAATTCTTCGGTTTTTTCTTTTTATAAGGTTTACATTCCCTTACATCGGGATGGAACTGATGGCCAGGCTACTGTCTACTGGAGTTTGAAGCCCTCTGGCTTTAATTCAGAAGCAGTGACCCTGGATGATATAGGTCCCTTTAATGGCTCTGTTTTGTTTTTATCTGGGCAAAGTGACACAACAATCAACATTACTGTCAAAGGTGATGACATACCGGAAATGAATGAAACTGTAATGCTTTCTCTAGACAGGTAATAACCCAATTAGGGAATGTTTAGTAACATTTATGTTTGAGTTCTCTTAAATAATTTTGATTTTGATTTTAATTCTTTAGTTCATATAAAATGAAAAGAAATCAAGTAAGTAGTGTTATGCTGGCCTTTTGACTTTTTTGTTATTTGTTGATGGCTTCTGGTTAGACCATTAATATAATTATATCTTTTAATGAACTTTTACTCTGCTGTTCATTGTGAAGAAGCATTACATAGAAAATTCATGGGAAGTATCAAATAAACCTGAAGCGTAGCCAATATGTTGCTATATTAAAAAAATAGGCAGCAACAAATCTAAAATGTTAGGTTAAGAAAACAGCTCTGCTGGCTTCGTTTTCAATAGGGCAGAGGATTAGAGCTTTTTTTTTTTAAGTGAGTAAAAAGAAAGCATTAATCTTCATGTAATGAAGATTTTCTTTTTTACATGGAATTTAAACATTAAATAATACTTATTTTCTAAAGAATCAAAAATTACACACATTTAAGAGGCACCTTTTCAGTAATGATAAGAATTTACTTAGCATGTCTCGGTGGGTAATTATATATTAAGAAAATATCACAATGTCCCAAAGAGTTTTTCTTCAGTAATTCAGAAAATCCTTTCTAAAAATAAAAATATACTGTGTTTACTTGATATTAATGATAGTTAACACATTGACTGCCACACTAGAAAAAAAAAATTTTCCCTGGGGCCGTGTATGGTGTTTTATTACAAAATAGCATAAAAACCTGAAAACAATCCTTTCTAATTTAATGAAAAATTTGTTATTTTTTATTGTTTTCTGTGCACGAGTTATATTCAACTCATGCAGTGCTAGAATCAATTTTTACACTGCACGCCAATTGAGTCGTTTGTGACTCACGACATACTTACTGAATTCGTTTCGGATTGTCTTCAGATGCTTCACGAGGTCCCAGGCTCAAAACTAGCGTGAGTTAAATACAACTCACGTGGCAGTCAATCTGTTAAAAATTAAAACCAACCTTATCTACTGCAGGTCTCTATATGAAAGTTGATACATATTAGAGAAGGTCACTGTGACTTGAGGCTTTGCACAATTCATATTTAGAAGTAGTAAATTTCATAGGTAAATTCAAGAGACATTTTTGTATTATATTATTCAGGACTGAATTAGTAAAAATTATTTTATATAATCCCTGGACCTCTATATTTTATTATCACCCTCTTGTAGGTTTTTCTTTGTAGGTGTTTTGTCTAAACACATTTTAAAAAACCTAATGAGTCGTTTTTTATTTTTACGTGAAAGAAAAATATAAAATACAGAAACAAATCTATTGAATGTCTACTGTTCCTTTTGTTTGCTTTCAGAACCACATTTTGTTTATTTCCTTTCTTACATAAAAAGTGAAATGAAACAATAACCAAAATACCAAGCAAACATATAATAAAAACTAAAAAGCAAAAACCAAATACAGCACACACACACACACACACACACACACAAACACACACACAGAGTCTAAATAACTTGTGGTTTTAATATGTATTTTAGATTCAGTCTTACAGAAAGGTATTTCATATGATGAAAAAATCTGTATAAAATGTAAATTACAAATTATTATTTTTGTCCTTTTTTCTTTAGATTTGAGTACCTATTAAATCAGTGGGCAATCTTGAAAAAGACTAAAGAAAAATGAACAGTGATTATAAACCTAAGCTGCAGCAATCCATAGAAACTCTACTGAGAGTTTCTGCACTCAAATAAATGTTTAAGGAATGATTTAGATTGTATCTCTGCAAATTCTTAGTGACTATTCTTTATGTTCTTTCAAATAGTGATTTTTTATCTTATCATGTACACATTTGAAATTAAGTATAATTTTTAAGGTTTGTTTTCCTCCTCTCCTATGGCTAAAAAACAAGGAAGTACAAATCATAGGGTAGAAAATTTTAGAAATTACTGGTGCTTTTCAAATAGAGAAAATTAGTTTAAATGTATATTAAAATGTTTTAATTCTATTAGTAACTAGTTCATACTTGTATTATCTCCATTGTTCATGAACAATAATGAACAAATGACATTTGAATAATTCAAAGACATGTCTAGTTGAATAAACATGAAAATAAAATGTATAATTTGAAATAGTATATTTTATCAAAACCTCTCTCTCGATTTTGAAAATTTTTGACAAAACCTAAGTGAAAGAATGAATGAATGCTAGTAAGTGTGATTACAATGAGTCACAATACAATAGTGTAACAAAAATAATTAACTTTATTGTGATACACTTTATAATTTTCCCTTAATGTCAAATCCAAATTCAAAATTCTCTATATTTCAACTAAATATAGACAAAAGTTATCCTGGTCCTAAACAATTTATGGTGCTTTCAAATACTGTACTAGTTAAAAATATTCTATTGTTTAATTTTCCTCAAATCAAAAACAATTTCATTATGCCAGTTTGCTTCAGAAAAATTTTGATATGTGTATTTGATATGTGTAACCCAATATTTATAAGTGGTGTATTTTTGACTTTAAAAATGAAGCTCAAGGGCTGTCCATTTTGACATGTGCTTGTCAAGGCTGAAAATGAAATACGTTGGGGATTTGGAAAAGTGTTTAGGTTTCCCAATATAAAGTGGTATTTAAGTAATATTTGGCATAATTAAAAGATATAATGATAGGGCTTCTTGAGTATATTCCTGTGCAAATGATGAAAGGTGTAGGTTTCTCTGCTTATAGAGTTTTGTTTTTCTAACTCAAAGAACAACTGGCTTTAAATCTGAGGATGGAAGTCTTCATTTTTTTAAAAAACCTAATTAAAGCTACTAAGTAATTATAAGTAGGGCTGAATGAAATTTGCTCAGCTGCTGCAGTTTGTGAGCATGTACGGTGCTTGGCAGGCACGAGTGCCTTGGAGGAGGCCTGGAAAGGAATGTCTTGAATGGGTCTTGACATGCTGGCTGGCCATGGGGTCATCTTCCGTAAGTGGGAACCGCCGAACCTCTTGCTAGCATTTGTCAATAGCAAAGAGCCCAGGGTGCAGAGTTCCCATAAAGTGAACATTACTAGTTCTTGGGGAAAAAAGAAAGGCTTTCTTTAGCTTTATTTTATTCCCTGGCCATTCTAAGTTTTTAGCAGTATTAGTGAGATTTTGGCAAATGGTGCTCTGCCTCTTTTTCCTCCCTCCCACACTTCTTTCTATGTTGACAGGGTAGAAACCGAAAGGTTTGTCGTGTATTTTGGGTAAGTATACAAAATAATGCCTTGTTTTTAGTGATTCAACATTGTTTTTTGCAAGTGATTGTTTTTGGACAAGGCCGCTGTTCTGCATGATCACAGGTCTTGAAAAATTTTGTTTGTCCACCTGGCTGTGCATGCTTTGTGTGTAGTTTCATTTTCTAATGATAAGGGAAGCTTATATGAAGTTGTTTGTTTATTTTTGGTCCTAAGAGTTTTAATTTATGAATGCATTTCAAATATTTGTTAAAAAGTTTGAAAATTAGTAAAATCATGTTTTGAAGAACTTAAAATTTTTAACTTCCCTTATAGTTTACACATAACCTAGAGAACAATTATTGTGCTATGCTTATGAAATTCTTACCCAACATCTATTTATGAATCTTGCAGCTTGTTTAACAGAGAGTTAGCAATCAATAATCTTAACTCTTCCATTGGTTTTCTGAGCGCATCTAGGCAATTTCTTGCTTATATCTCAGTGCCGTATACACTTTTCAGAATTTGCATTTTACATAAGGCTAGCACATTTTAAGAAAGTTTAAAAATAGATTCATTTGTCTAATGCTCAGAATGGATTTTTATATTTTGCATTCTGATCCAGTTTTCTTGTCTCCTAGCTTATGTGGACGTAGGTAATTTTATTAATGCAGATATTGATGTAAGTGATGGGCAAATGTGCTATGAAAATATGAGTATATTAAGAATATAATAAATAACCCTTCTATTATTTGGACTCTCTCTTCTGTGGCTACTAGCATGCTAAGTATTGATTGTCAGATTTCCAAAAGCTGGAGGAGGATGTTAATTCAAATTCTCTATCACATAGGAAGTGAACTGTCTTTTCTACATATTTCTACATTTTAATTGTGGTTTCACTGTGATACTGAGCTCTGATTGTGAGTACTTTTTGGTTAAATAGGAAGTGGCATTTGGAAAAGTTTAGAGAAGCTTGCAGGATTGAGAATTCTTAAGAGCTTGCTGGCTTTTAAACCTCCACAGCTTTGCAATCCAATCCCTTTGATCATTCTAATTATACATTGAATATTAAAACCAGAAATAAAAAAATTTTGTTTTAATATGTTCTTTTGTGAGATATATAGGAATTGTTAATAACATTTCATGCATCTTAGATCCATTTTTTTTCCTCTTTTTCTTATATG